CTTGAATAAACTAAAAAAGTCCATATAGACCAGTGTTTCTCAACGGGGACGATATCACCCCTATGTGGGCGTTTTTCCATGTTGAGGGGGTGATTAAGTAACAATTTATATTTTGGAGGCAAAAAACAATTTTCTGGGCTCTATAGTAAAACATTATATTAAGAATAATTAGATATTTTATTCGTTATATCATGCAATAATTAAACAAATAACATTATACTAGTCACTAGTCTATTCTATGCAGTACGAATTTGTAAACATCGCTAAACCCAATGTAATATAGCTAATCACCAACGCTATATTGCGCCTAACGCTTACCTCTAGTGCCAAATTAATTACGTAATTTATTTAGTAATTAGCCTTAAAACTAGCCCGATGGATTTACGGCATATGTTTGGTGATTAGTACGAATTTGGCATTAATCTTGGTCCTTGGCATCGGAATTTTAAAGTGAAGGGGGTGATAATAGGTAACAATTTTATTGAAGGGGGCGACAATTCGTTAGAGGTTGAGAAACTGATATAGACCCTTGCTCCCATCATATACAATGATGTACTTTTCACAAATCTTTTTTCTCCCATAAATTGTACATATAAACCTTGGTGCCATCTATTTAATTAAAACTGAGAAGTTAACCAATTATCAATCCTTTTATTTCAAATATGTGAATGCTTATTGGTTAACATCTAATTCTATAATGTTTACAGACAACAAACAAAAACCCAAAGCCAAAGACCATATCATTGGCTTGCACACTAAGTTGAGCCAATTTTATTAACAATTATGAGATATGTCCAAAAAAGTAAAAATACATTATGTATAAGCAGAAAGCTAATGTTTTAGTGCATATGTTGACAATAGTTGATTTCATCTGAACCTTTGCAGTCTTTTTGTGATTGTTCATGATTACTATGCCAAGTCTGATTCAAGTAGCATATGTTTACAATGGCTGCAATAGTTCAGAATCCTGCAAAATGTGAATTGTGTTCCTTCATACATTTTCTCAATGCAAAAGGTGAGCACCCAGCAGACATTCACAAACAAATTGTTTCCATTTGTGGGGACATTATGAATCGACAAAATTAGGGTTTCTCAAACAAGATCTCGGGATTCCGGTTGTATTTTTAACCCAGGAAATCCCACAAATTTCTTAAAAGTTCACTTTTTTCTTATTTTATGTTAAGATTGAAGAAATTTTGCAAATAGAAAGTATAATTAACTTGTAAACTGTCAGAATACTTAATTTTTTACGTATTATTTTTTAAAATTTTTGCTCATTATGGCATGTCACAAATGGTCAATAATCAATATGTAGCTTATTTGTGGCAAGACACTGAAAATTCTTTACTTGCCAGAACCTGTAATATCTGGAATAATTGTGCTTATGCTGTCTTAATTTTTAATCATGCCCAGTAGCTTCAATAACTGCATTATGCCAGGTTTTGAAAATTGGGCAAGGATACAAATGAGTATGAAGTATGCAAGTATGGCTTTAATAATCAGGTTTATGAAGAAAAGTTTTAAACGAACTGCCAAATTATCGGGCTGTAAGCTTGATGCTGCTATTAAAGCAGCCAAGGTAGACAAATCAAGAATACTACAGAGCAAAAGAAGTACTACAATCTCGAAAACAAACTAGAAATCTTCCAGGCTACAGGTGAAAAATCACATAACATTCATCTTTTCTTAAATGCATTAAAGACAATTCCACTCACATCAATTGAATCGGAAAGGGCATTCTCAGTAGCAGGACTTTTCATCACTAAAATAAGAATCAGATTGAGTGATTGCAGTATTGACCACCTTTGCTTTTTTAAAATAATACTATATAAAGCTGAAAAACTGGATTCTTTCTTTCTTTCTGTCACTGTATGCCAAAAATGGCCTCTAGGGGCACCCATAGCTATTATTTAAATTAACAATAAATTCAGTATATTATTATTTGATGTGATTTTTTGCATTTTTGGCTGCATTTTAGTACAGTACACTATGAGAAATTCAGTATATTATTATTTTTATTTATAATAGGAATTTATTATTTATACCATGGAATGACATCGCTGCTGCTAGAACACCCACTAGGGGGTATCCCAGGCTATTAGAATAGAAGGATTAGACATCACCCACTATATTACCCCCGAAGACCTCAACACTCTCATCAAGTGTGACAATGAAAAACATGAACAACAGCTGGAAACACCTACCCCAAAAACTATCTCTATCCTTGATTTTCTAACACATCAGATATTTCTTTTCCTGACATCACTGACCGCTGCATCAACGTCCTCATCAATCGTGCAAGAACCAATACTTTGCTTATGAACCACTTTCTTTATACTCACAATATCTGCACCACTGACCAGTGCAAACACTGTCCAAACAAAACAGACACAACAATACACTGCCTCAACAAGTGTTCAAAATTTGACAACATTGGGAAAAATCCTCTCCAATAACAGTCTTACAAAAAATCATCTACTCAATATCAGCAATTGTCTTCAATCCTTATTGACCTTTTTTAATGAATACAAAAATACCTATAACTACTAAATCAATCTAACTTGTTTCTCATCCATCTCTCATTTTATCTGCCAACAGTTGACAAACAGTTAATTCATCCACTTATTTTCGACGTTGCTCATTCACAGAATCCTGAACCACCAACAACTCCATACCCCCTTGTGCATGCTCCTACAATCCCTTGACATTTGTACTGATTTTGTCAAACGTTTCTTCTAGACCTTTCAAGTTCTTCAACTCAAGATTGCCATCTGTTTCTCCAACCAACTCCACTCACATACCCTAAAAACAACTACATAGGGCAAAATAGTCAACATAGCTAATGCCTAACTTTGCCACCAAAGGGCAAGCAAGCAAGCAAGAAGGATTAGAAGTACCAAATAATCTAATAATCTTAGTCTTTGTTGTTGTTTTTTGCCCGGGCAATGCCGGGCTCATCTGTTGGTCTTAGTACAAAATTTATTGTAAAGTTTTATAATATGTTTTATTTAAAAAACAAAAATTACGTCTTAAGTTAGAAGTTTGATCTAAGTTCATTTTTTNATAATAACAATAATAAATTATACTTCAGAAGTTAATTTAGTATCAAAAACGTAAAATATTTGAGTAGCCCAAGACATAGCCAAAGATTGCAGCGCCACAGCACTGGCAAAAATTTAAATTTGCCAACTGGAATTCTTTCGGATGATTGACTTTCGGATAATCGAAGCTCTACTGTATTGCTTTTAATAATAAAAATATTTGCTTGTTCAATTGACAAAAACCTGAAATCTGTAGAACTGGGAAAACAAATTTGGTTTTTTAAAGCAGATATTTTTATACAATAAACTAAAATTTAGTCTTCTAAAAATTCTTTTGATTTTGTGCAGTAACAGAATCAATGGCATTATCAAAAGAATTGGAACAAATTGCAATATTAGCTTAGTATTTCCATGAAATTCATTTAATATTGTCTTTTGTAAAATTAATGATTGACTTTTTGAGGTAAAAAATAAAATAAAAGTTTTATTTTTGGTCATAAAGTATGATTGCAAACTATTTGGGGTAGAGTTAATTAATTATTAAACAGTGCTTGTGGCATCCTGGCATTCTAAAATACTGCCAAAGGTAATCAAACATTTTATTCTTACCAAATAACTAAACTTCCAAATATAAGGAGCTAAAACATCATAATCCAGATTGCATCTGCAGATTACTGTGTTTTCATGTAAATAACCTTAAGTTTAAATAGTTATTAGAATTGAAATAAAATCATTACAAAATCTGCACCAATGTATATCCTGTATTTCCAGAATAACATTGAAAATATGGAATTTATCAGTATGAAGTTTAGGAAGCATTATCCCACATTTCTCCCTGTTTTTCTTTATTTCTTTTGTACAAATGTCTACTAATAAACAATCTTTCATTTGAAGTTTTTACCTCATTTAATTAATGAGTTATTAAAAATGTCAGTTCTCATCCAGGTATTTGCATTTGAACATGAATCCAGGTGTAAATGCTGTACATCTTAAAACATGTAAGAGTTTTACTTTTTCCAATATCTATAAGTCTTTTTTTTTTGGCTTTGCATATTAACACTGCAAAGAACCATAATAAATTCCTTCAGTGATTGAAATTCTTTAGCATTTTAATGCTTAAACAAATAAGTATGATTGGGTGTTACATGAAATTTGAGTGCTGTTCTTTTGCATTGTAGATATTTTTTGACTATCCTATCTTATCCACAATTCATCTTTTCTCCTATTTCAGTACACAATGTTGTTTTGTTTTCTCTACTGGTCAAACAACCTATCAGCTGCAATAAAACTTTCCTTTTCCATACTTTTAGCTAATTTTTCTAAATGTATCAAGAGTAAATATTTTATATGATTGAATGATTTTAATTTAAATTGATTCTGACCATTGTGCTAATGTTTTTATTGGAACAGCATTGATTATAACCATTATAAGATATAATTGTAATTAGAAATTTCTGAGTGAATTTCTGATTTCAATAAGGAGGCATCCATTATGTGTACAGTTTAAGGGTGGAAGTTATAAAAAGTAAATTATTGTACATAACAGAGAGGGAGAGATTAACTGTACATATAGTTAATGGATGGTCCTAAGCAAAAGTTTTGTAATGTTATTTAATTTTTATGTTTTGGGACATGTTAATTCTGACAACATAAGAAAATTGATGACAGTATCCACAACTACAATAAACAGCACCTGCTGTATGTATTTTCCCATATGATTTTATGATACATATATTTTAATTTATTAGAAATCAATAGTATTATTTTTGTATTAAATATTGAGAAAATTTATATCAAGTTGAGTATTAAGATAATTGATTAATCTGATATCAGGATTTTTCTCCAAATTAATTAAGAAAATGTAGTTTTCATTAATTAACACAGAAAAATCATAAAGTATATTTTTGCAACTTTATTCAAATTATCTATTTTGGTGCTAATTCTACATTTTATCTTTAGCAAATGCTTCCAAATCTGATCTTTCTAATGATAAGATTTTTGAAGAGTTTGATAAGATAAAATTGATCCGGCGACCTCGAGTTACGAAAAGATTGTCAACCAATGATAGTAGTGATCATAAGGGTAAATAACAAAAAATAATATATATTGGTTTAATTTCTGTTATTAATTAATAATATAGATTTTCAAAACTTTCTTTTGTTTCATAGAATCTCTTAGTGATAGTGAAGATGATAGCATTAAAACAGAAGATGGTAAGATAATGAATTTATTAACTATACCATATGAAGTTATTATTTTATATTTGTAACAAAGTTATTGATAAATAATTATCTTAATTTCTATGATAATTTGATGCCTTCTATTTGGATTTTACGTAGTGTAATTAATGATTTATACAGTGACTTTTTTTTATTCTACAAATTAATTTTTAAGAAACATTTTATCTCAACACTTGTTACCAAACATACAGTTAGATACATTAAATTTTGAACAGTAAAAATATGTCAGTATTTTCCATTTGTTTTATAGGGGATAGATATACAGATTATGCAAGATGAAATTGCAGTTTACACTTTTTAAAACCTATTCACAAAGTTTCAATTAAGTTTAAATTGTACAGGTATCACAAATTTAACTGTATGTACTGCTATAATTTTTGTTATAACAATTTCCTCATCTTGCTTTTGGTTTTGCATTACTTGTATCCAAACTAAACTTTATAGTTATTGCTATACATTAAATTTTGAGTATTTATTTTTGAACATTCTTTTAGGTATTGCATGTTGAATAAATATTGGCATGTCTATTTGTATTCAGCTGTATTAGAACAGAAAACATCAAAGTATTGGAGTTGAATCCTGTTTCTTCTATGAATCTAATTATCACCAGGGTAACATAAATTTTTGTGAGGCCAGGTTTCAAAAATTGTACAGAGCAAAAAATGTAGTTATATATACTTCTGAATTTTATAATAATAAATTACTAACAATTTGTGCTTATAATAAATATATACTTATACATACAATACAATACAATACAAGAATACATACAACTTAAGTAGTTTAAACTGAAAAAATATTGTTAGGATACTTTTCTTAACTATGTATTCTGCAATTGAATTTACTATATATGTATAATACTAAGCATAGGCACCACAAAATGTGCATGGTTCTACAAAATTTATGATGAGCTTGCTGTGGACTATGGGACATTTTCAAGCATGGAGCCAGATTCCAGGAAACACACTGAATCTACCTCACACTGGCCCTGGATATCAGACTAAATAAGAAAGAGGATTTATCTAATAGCAAGATTAGTAGGATGATGTATTTTATAAAGTGGACATTTAGTGTATATATCTTTGAAATAATGTGATATTGATTCAGTTATAAAAAATATTTATTAGTTAAAAATTAAGTTTTTCAAACTAGGGTAAGCATTCAATGCGAAGCTATAAGCTAAAAATTAATTTTCTTTATTCAACTGTTTAAGTTGCTGAATGTAACCTGAGAATTCATGTAAATGCAATCAATTCTCAGCACAAATTCTTATAGATCCTGACAATTTGTTCTTCTACATTCATGAGTAAATATTTGTGAATGACTTCTAGAAGTCATTTGATTAACAATAAAAGAATGTTCTGATCTGTTGGCAAATTTCTTTCAACTGATCTATCACTAGGAAAAAACTTAGCTAGTAACCAGATTATATGATCATTTTTTTGTTTTATATTAACAGAATTTATATAATTTCTACAAATTTTTAATGATAATTAAAGGAGCTTTCTTATCTTCCTACAGATGTTGAATGCAGTAAATCATTAAAATCTGTTACCAACACCAGAGATATTAAAATGCCAATTATTTCACCATTAAGGAATAGCGGAGAAACAAAGTTCAATTCTCTTCGCAGTTATTTCAATGAAGAATACTGTTATATTATGGATGCCAAGACATGTGGAAATATTGGACGATATTTAAATGTAACTAATTATGTTCTTTTCTTGTATTTCTAGAAATTAATGATTTTTGTTTTGTTTAAATTAATGATTTTTTGATATCATTATCCTTTCTAGCATAGTTGTTGTCCAAATGTTTTTGTACAGAATGTATTTGTTGACACTCATGATCTGAGATTCCCTTGGGTTGCATTCTTTGCCATGACGTAAGTAATTTTTATCAAAGAAGGATATTGAAGCATGATGGTTTATACACAGGCAGTCTTTCACTTTTGATGTAATGCAAAGTTTAAATAATAGAGTTATAGGTCATAAAAGGCATTATATTTGCAAAGAAATTATAAGAGATTTTATATTATTTAATTTAAAGGTTAAAAGTTTTACTTTTTTCAGGGAATATATTACAGCATAAAACAATAGATTAACAGCAAAATTATTTGTAAAAATTATTAAAATTAAAACTGGAAAAAAGTACCACTTTATCTTGAAACTTTTGTTTGTCAAGTGAAAATGTATGAGAGTGAGTTTAGCATAGGAAAACTGATTTTAGAGTATCAAAGTCTTATATTTGAAAGAACAAAATTGCCTGAAAGTTGAGGACTGTCTTTAATAAACCTTTTTTAATAGTTATTATTTGTAAGTAAAAATATACTTGAATACATTAGCTGCCACATATATTCATACATGAAACATTAATATTATACACTCTCTTGCTCACTCTTCACACATCATAGTCTTTTCATGTGTCTTGGAATGGTGTGCCAAATAAGATTGAATTTGTGGTTGAATATGTATCTGTACCAATATTCAGAAACGTACTCCTTGTTCTTGATGCATTCATTCTTATTTGTTCATGCAATATAGTGTAATGATGTTAAGCTCAGGTACAGATATTTATTAGGATTCTTGGTCCTACTGTAATGGCTGGAATGCTTGGATATGAAATCAATATGAGCTTTCAGATACTAATTCCTGGTTTATAGATTCACTTTTCCTTTTCAGATGTTGTATTAGCCTCCCAGTGTTAACGCCATAAAATGACAAAGGCTTGTTTGTATACCTGCTTATCAAATACATTAACATTAACTCTGTATTTAATTGTTGTGCTTCTGTGATTGTTTTCTTCATTTTCTTTTCATTTCATGTATATATGTCAAAACCAGTTTAGGAGATTATTCAATGCAAAATGCAAGCCTAAGTCCAAATGATGAAAATATTCTAGTGAATTCTACCTTTCCTATAGTATCCATATATTTTGACTTACCTGAATAGCTCCTCCATGTTTCCTTTATCCTTCATCTCTTTCTATCACACCTGTATAAATAAGTCTTTTAGGTCTTTTAAGAGGGCTAAGCTTATCTTCCTTTTGAACTATCTCCATGGCAATATGTCTTTTCACATAATTTGTGGTCTCTTCAACATCACTAGGCAGTTTTCCTGGTTTTTATTCACTCGTTAATATTATCATTACCACATTAACTAATTAAATTAAGTAAAACTACTGTAAAATATCTTTACTTGTCGCCACAACATTTCAAACGACAACACAAGCATTCACAAGTCAGTCATTACTTGTTTATATCAGTGATTTTCAAAATAACTATTCAGTTTTTTCAAAATGTAATTCTATACTATTTAACCAAAAAAACATTACCAGATAGACAAAATATTTTGACATATTAAATATTGTTTTAGATATGATAGATTTAGAATGAGAACCATTATATGGGGCCATTATTGCTGCCTTCAATTATATAACAACTTTAGGCAAACAGGATTAAGTCTTACATTTCTTTGAAGATTGTCTAACTTCTCCATCAAAGAAGATATCTATATTATGAATAATCATTTCTTTGGAACCTTTTTTTACACTATGAGAATGTTTGTGAAATACAGTGTACTCTGTTTATTCATATGAAGATCATCTGTGCAGCAGCTTTTTCCTTTATGCAAAATTGGCCAAACAAAAATGGTGCTTTGTAAAGTACTATATTATTTTTCCGACTTTCCAACGATTATCGACACTACTGTGTGCCGGAAATAGCCGTTCCCTAACGGGTACTTTACGCGGATTCGCGTTAGTGTGCCAGGCCTGGACTTTAAGCGTGCACCGAATTAAATAATGACAAAGTTTGTCAATAACAAAATCAAATATTTAATTAAACTTCTAGTAATAAACTATATACAGTATTTAGTAAAAGTCAAACAATAATTTATTCAATGAAATTCAACAAGAATCAAACCGACAAACTCAAATCAATCTATTTCTAACTTAATTCTATTCCCCTTTGGAATTCGACAAAATCAAAGAATTAACTTATAAACAATAATTCTTATAAATTAAAGATCCTAATCGTCACCTCAATATACTAGGAACCTATTTCCTCAAACTCTCAAGACTTTCTATAATCGTCGATCCACAAATCGAATAACTTCAAAATCCTATCGGACACCTCTCTCGTTCACTGCTACGAAGCTCACCAAAGCTCGTTGCTATCAGGAATTCACCTCGTTCGTTTTCACTTGAGTTAGAGGCTTTATAGTGTGAGGTGACGTCACAATTCTGAATGAGCTCACTCTCCTCATTTACATACTTATCTGTAACATTAAATTTTTCTTGTTTATCTGGCAGATTATTTTCCGACAATACTTCGCTAACCTTTTACATTATTCTTTTTAACAATTATCGGGATGCTTTATTCTTTTAAGGTTTAGCGATTCCTAACTGGGTTGTGGGGTCTTCCCCCCCCTTTTTTTCGGTGCGGACTTACTTTTTCCGCTTGGGAAGCGCAAGTGTGCGCGAGTTTTTCTACGGCGCTTTTCTTTCGTCGGTGAGTTGGTTTTTCTTCTATTTTTAAGTTACTAAGGTGAATGGTGAGGAAACCTTCGTCTTAACTAAACATAAGCCCCAAACAAAATATAATGAAAGCAAAATAAAAGTAAAATAAAAATAAAGCTCAGACTTGGTTCCTTACAGCTTGACCACACACAATTTTCTTTTGTTTAAAAAAATATTTTGTGTAAACAAAACAATGCCATCTAGCTGGAAAAAATGTGAACTAAAGCTTATAGAAGACTATTTCCTTCTAAGAAATGTGTGTTGGATTATGTGTTTTTCGATTTTTCATGCATGTTCTCCCCATCACTAGCCTGGATAATTGGTATATACTGTAATGCAATTGCATAACTAATTATCTTACTTATTGCAAATATATTATTTGTGGTGTCACTATTCGTAATGATCAAACAGATGTAAAAGAAGTTTTTTCATGCACATACAATACTAGACTATATATGCCAAGAATTTCTACATTTTTAAGGGAAGTATCACATTCTTTCTTTCTTATTAAGATATGTTTCTCGAGATAGAAGTTAGAACTGCAATTCATCAACATAACACATGTTTTCATTTTTGGTTTTTTAAGGAGATACTTGGCCAGTATTATATTGATGTTTCAGTGTATAGTTAAGATAGTTTTTTGTGAAATAAAAAACAAACTTTCTTTTTGGTGGTGCATTTGATAAAATAACTTTTATCATCATAAAGTGAACAAACAGAACAAAGGATTTAAAAATAGTGGTGTAGAAAAATATACTACATAGTAGTTCTTTTACTTGCTTCTGATATTATTCCATCAGATTTTATAGATTTTAAATTAATTTTCAGGGATCAATGATAGTTAAATCTGTATAATATATTGTATAGTAATATAGTTATATTATCCAAAGTTTACCAATTTCATTAGATGATGATGATTCATATCCAGATAGCAATAACTGTGTGTTTTTTTTTTTTTTTTCTTTTGTATAATTAAATATTGTTTGGAAAAATAAAATAAAATAACAGAATTTGAATAATAAATTTTAATAACACTGTTTTAAATTTATTTATTTATTTATTAGAAACTTAAACTAAAAGAAACTGAAAAACAGTCTGAAAAAATTATATTTTTAAATCTTAATCATCATCATCATTGAATTTGTTTTGTATATGCTTCTATAAAAATAAAATGTTTAGCTTTAGTCAATTAATTAGGATCAAATATAGAAAATCTTAATTAACACTGATAAAATATTTCAATTTATATGATCATGGTAAATATTTTACTTACATAAACTATTTTTTTCTATAGGCATATCCGTGCTGGCACAGAATTGACTTGGGATTATAATTATGATGTAGGTAGCGTTCCTGGAAAGGTTATGTATTGTTATTGTGGATCGGCAGAATGCAGAGGCCGATTACTATAGAGCACTGGCTAGCACTTAAAATCTTTTTCCTATGGAGAGCAATAGAAGAGGAAAATACAAAAGAAAAAGCTGTGATATTTATTAAAAGCTAGTTGATAAGAATTATAATATACTTCACTTCCACACTGCCATTTGTAGATTATTATTATTTCATTGTAATGTACAATATGGTGATCACAAATATACATGTTTGTCCCACTATACATAAATTCATAGTTCATCTTGTACATATATTTATTCATATTTTAAAGATTTTGATTTCATTCTTTTACATCTCTTGTAAATACAAATTGACATTTGACATTGTATACAAGTAAATTATGTTGCATATTTGTCTGTTAACATGTTCATTTTGTGTTTTGTTTTTAATTGTCATTGAATTCCTTTCATGTATGTATTTGTATAAAACCTGATTGACTGATTAATTATAATCATTTTTATTGTCAAACTGGTTGTAAAAACTTGTTTCTAAATGACAAAATAAATGTTTTTTTACATAAAGCTTGTTTTTTATTTATTTATTGTAATTTTTATTACTTTATATGAGATAGAGAGGGAAGGGGCAAGAGTATCTCAAAAATTGTACATGTAATTAGTGGACAACTACTTGGTTGAGAAAGTTAACATTTTAATTTTTATAATTACATACTTTTGACAAACTCGCTCCCTTTTATTTATGTGTATAAATATATATAATTGTTCATGATCCTCTGATGTTAAAGAAATGACTGAGAAAATATTTGCAGACCTTTTTAAACTTATAGTGGTATTAGTGGAATATGAATTTGTTCTTATAAGTCAACCTACTAGTCACTTGAATAAACTAAAAAAGTCCATATAGACCAGTGTTTCTCAACGGGGACGATATCACCCCTATGTGGGCGTTTTTCCATGTTGAGGGGGTGATTAAGTAACAATTTATATTTTGGGGGCAAAAAACAATTTTCTGGGCTCTATAGTAAAACATTATATTAAGAATAATTAGATATTTTATTCGTTATATCATGCAATAATTAAACAAATAACATTATACTAGTCACTAGTCTATTCTATGCAGTACGAATTTGTAAACATCGCTAAACCCAATGTAATATAGCTAATCACCAACGCTATATTGCGCCTAACGCTTACCTCTAGTGCCAAATTAATTACGTAATTTATTTAGTAATTAGCCTTAAAACTAGCCCGATGGATTTACGGCATATGTTTGGTGATTAGTACGAATTTGGCATTAATCTTGGTCCTTGGCATCGGAATTTTAAAGTGAAGGGGGTGATAATAGGTAACAATTTTATTGAAGGGGGCGACAATTCGTTAGAGGTTGAGAAACTGATATAGACCCTTGCTCCCATCATATACAATGATGTACTTTTCACAAATCTTTTTTCTCCCATAAATTGTACATATAAACCTTGGTGCCATCTATTTAATTAAAACTGAGAAGTTAACCAATTATCAATCCTTTTATTTCAAATATGTGAATGCTTATTGGTTAACATCTAATTCTATAATGTTTACAGACAACAAACAAAAACCCAAAGCCAAAGACCATATCATTGGCTTGCACACTAAGTTGAGCCAATTTTATTAACAATTATGAGATATGTCCAAAAAAGTAAAAATACATTATGTATAAGCAGAAAGCTAATGTTTTAGTGCATATGTTGACAATAGTTGATTTCATCTGAACCTTTGCAGTCTTTTTGTGATTGTTCATGATTACTATGCCAAGTCTGATTCAAGTAGCATATGTTTACAATGGCTGCAATAGTTCAGAATCCTGCAAAATGTGAATTGTGTTCCTTCATACATTTTCTCAATGCAAAAGGTGAGCACCCAGCAGACATTCACAAACAAATTGTTTCCATTTGTGGGGACATTATGAATCGACAAAATTAGGGTTTCTCAAACAAGATCTCGGGATTCCGGTTGTATTTTTAACCCAGGAAATCCCACAAATTTCTTAAAAGTTCACTTTTTTCTTATTTTATGTTAAGATTGAAGAAATTTTGCAAATAGAAAGTATAATTAACTTGTAAACTGTCAGAATACTTAATTTTTTACGTATTATTTTTTAAAATTTTTGCTCATTATGGCATGTCACAAATGGTCAATAATCAATATGTAGCTTATTTGTGGCAAGACACTGAAAATTCTTTACTTGCCAGAACCTGTAATATCTGGAATAATTGTGCTTATGCTGTCTTAATTTTTAATCATGCCCAGTAGCTTCAATAACTGCATTATGCCAGGTTTTGAAAATTGGGCAAGGATACAAATGAGTATGAAGTATGCAAGTATGGCTTTAATAATCAGGTTTATGAAGAAAAGTTTTAAACGAACTGCCAAATTATCGGGCTGTAAGCTTGATGCTGCTATTAAAGCAGCCGAGGTAGACAAATCAAGAATACTACAGAGCAAAAGAAGTACTACAATCTCGAAAACAAACTAGAAATCTTCCAGGCTACAGGTGAAAAATCACATAACATTCATCTTTTCTTAAATGCATTAAAGACAATTCCACTCACATCAATTGAATCGGAAAGGGCATTCTCAGTAGCAGGACTTTTCATCACTAAAATAAGAATCAGATTGAGTGATTGCAGTATTGACCACCTTTGCTTTTTTAAAATAATACTATATAAAGCTGAAAAACTGGATTCTTTCTTTCTTTCTGTCACTGTATGCCAAAAATGGCCTCTAGGGGCACCCATAGCTATTATTTAAATTAACAATAAATTCAGTATATTATTATTTGATGTGATTTTTTGCATTTTTGGCTGCATTTTAGTACAGTACACTATGAGAAATTCAGTATATTATTATTTTTATTTATAATAGGAATTTATTATTTATACCATGGAATGACATCGCTGCTGCTAGAACACCCACTAGGGGGTATCCCAGGCTATTAGAATAGAAGGATTAGACATCACCCACTATATTACCCCCGAAGACCTCAACACTCTCATCAAGTGTGACAATGAAAAACATGAACAACAGCTGGAAACACCTACCCCAAAAACTATCTCTATCCTTGATTTTCTAACACATCAGATATTTCTTTTCCTGACATCACTGACCGCTGCATCAACGTCCTCATCAATCGTGCAAGAACCAATACTTTGCTTATGAACCACTTTCTTTATACTCACAATATCTGCACCACTGACCAGTGCAAACACTGTCCAAACAAAACAGACACAACAATACACTGCCTCAACAAGTGTTCAAAATTTGACAACATTGGGAAAAATCCTCTCCAATAACAGTCTTACAAAAAATCATCTACTCAATATCAGCAATTGTCTTCAATCCTTATTGACCTTTTTTAATGAATACAAAAATACCTATAACTACTAAATCAATCTAACTTGTTTCTCATCCATCTCTCATTTTATCTGCCAACAGTTGACAAACAGTTAATTCATCCACTTATTTTCGACGTTGCTCATTCACAGAATCCTGAACCACCAACAACTCCATACCCCCTTGTGCATGCTCCTACAATCCCTTGACATTTGTACTGATTTTGTCAAACGTTTCTTCTAGACCTTTCAAGTTCTTCAACTCAAGATTGCCATCTGTTTCTCCAACCAACTCCACTCACATACCCTAAAAACAACTACATAGGGCAAAATAGTCAACATAGCTAATGCCTAACTTTGCCACCAAAGGGCAAGCAAGCAAGCAAGAAGGATTAGAAGTACCAAATAATCTAATAATCTTAGTCTTTGTTGTTGTTTTTTGCCCGGGCAATGCCGGGCTCATCTGTTGGTCTTAGTACAAAATTTATTGTAAAGTTTTATAATATGTTTTATTTAAAAAACAAAAATTACGTCTTAAGTTAGAAGTTTGATCTAAGTTCATTTTTTTTAAATTTTCAACTCAATTCAAAGCTTTTATTTATTTATTTATTTTTTGTTGTTGTTGTATGCAGTTTCCAGCAAACTTTAATAAATTTTTTCTATTTGTGAAAATTTCTATATAAATCAAAGGTAATTTTTAATATTTATCTTACTCAGCATTATTAATATGATTTTGGAGGTTGCAGAATTTACTAAATTACTTTAAAAAATGAAAAATAATTATATCATTTGATTTTAAGATACTTTGCTTATCTTAAAAATAATTAATTCTATCCAGGGATCCCGGGACAAGCAAAAGACTGGAAAATGAGAAACCCTAGACAAAATGTAAGAAAGCACTCTCTGGAGGCAGAACTGATGTTTATGATGAACACAGGAGTGATTCTGTCTGTGATCACTGATGAACTTCTTCAAAGAACAAAGTGATTCTATGCAATACATAGAAAGTGATATAGAAAGTAACATAGAAAGTGATTCTATGCAAATTGATTTCTCACAATAAGAGAATTACATGAAATCATTCTGGAAGTGAGAAGTCCACACTTCACGAAGCATGTGACTTCTCAAATGATTCAAGTGGGAAGTTTTCGACCATCCACCATACAGCCAGACCTTGCTCCCAGCAACTTTCACTTGTTTATCTTAACAAACAACTTACAAGACAACACTTCCAAAACAATGATGAGATCAAAAATGAATTTGAACTATGGTTCTAGCAGCAAGTGGTAGAATTCTACAACTCTAGGATACTGAAGCTAGTACCCAGATTTAACAAATGTTTGGACAATGGCAGTAATTATGTAGAAAAATAATGTGTATACCTGTAAATAAGGTTTAGTGGACATTTGGTCAAATAAAAATGTCTTGAATGAATACTAGCCATTGTATCTTTACTTTTTGGACATACCATGTATTATCACATAGAAAATGAAACTGTTCAATTAATCAAAACATGAATAACTATTCATCAAATTTATTTCAGATTTCAGAAAGCATCAATTCCATCTGTTGTCTGAATTAACATTACAGTGGTACCTCAGGATACGAACGCCCCAGCATACAAAATTTTCAGGATACGACATGAAATTCGAACATATTTTTGCTCCACGATACGAACAAAAACTCACCATACGATGTTACATTAGTTGCAGCGCCATTTTTTATTTACTTCTGTTCGTTATTNTCACCTCGTTCGTTTTCACTTGAGTTAGAGGCTTTATAGTGTGAGGTGACGTCACAATTCTGAATGAGCTCACTCTCCTCATTTACATACTTATCTGTAACATTAAATTTTTCTTGTTTATCTGGCAGATCATTTTCCGACAATACTTCGCTAACCTTTTACATTATTCTTTAACAATTATCGGGAAGCTTTATTCTTTTAAGGTTTAGCGATTCCTAACTGGGTTATGGGGTCTCCCCCTCCCCTTTTCGTCGGTGCGGACTTACTTTTTTCTACTCGGGAAGCGCAAGTGTGCGCGAGTTTTTCTACGGCGCTTTTCTTTCGTCGGTGAGTTGGTTCTTCTTCTATTTTTAAGTTACTAAGGTGAATGGTGAGGAAACCTTCGTCTTAACTAAACATAAGCCCCAAACAAAATATAATGAAAGCAAAATAAAAGTAAAATAAAAATA